AAGCAGTTACAACCATGAATTACAACCTAACTGCTGTTCGTTTTATATAATCAGCACTAAATATGGAAATAATCAATACTGAAGATTCGCAAGAGCTCAACTTGCTTTCATTCTAAAATGTACTTGCAGTCTAATGTAGTAGTGATTTCTCTATTCCAGTTAAACTGTTCTATTCCTATTCTTTTCCAAGGAATAGAATAGAACAGTTCGCAAACGAGGATCGCACAGAATAGAATAGAATAGAATAGAATAGAGCCGTTTTTGAGACAAAAGAATAGAATAGAACAGTTCTCAATAAAGAGACGCGAGAATAGAATAGAACAGTCATCAAAAAATGCACAGTATAGAACAGAATAGAGCCACTTTCGAGCAGGCTAGGACAGAATAGAGCAGTTTTCAAAAAGGTGGTATAGAGACATCACTAAATGAGACAGTCGAGAAAAGAGGTAGGGTTCGTATTCAAATTTTAAGTACCACTTTTGAGAGGTATTCATTCTCATATCGGAATGTGTGAGTAACGCTACATCTGTAAAGGTTTTTCCCGTGTCAGGTGGGAGGTTCTGTGAGGATGGATTAATTCTAGAAGATATTTGTCATTTGGTATTTCTAGAGGATCTGAAAGCATAAGTCAGGGTTCCGTATATTTGTTGAAAAGTTTATTCGAAGCAAAAATGAACCTCTGCAAAGTATACTGCTTGGCTGAGAGATGAATTACTCATACAACTGAACAGCGATTCCAGTAGCAACTGAACGTAATGTTCGCTGAAGATAATCTCTAGAAAGCATACTTATGAATAGGTCAAGTGCTTGCTGTCGAAGCGCCCTGATCGACTGTGAACTAGAGTCAGGCACATGATGAAGAATTCCAAAGGAATTATCAGGCTAACTTTTTCTGTATCGTTGTTACGGTCGTATGGTATTGAATTACAATGTTTTGATATGTGACTGTTTTCTTGGGTTCAGAAAAGCAATAGGCAAGTACATATATCCGCCGACAGTTACAGTCCTATGTTAGATGGAACAGAACGATTTATTGTCAATTGATTGTTGCCTGCTTTTATACTCTTCTTATTCGATGTAGTTTTGCGTGAGTGCTCCACAAACGGATGCATGTGTATCAGTGGTGTGTTAATACGGCACCTCGTAATTCACATTCCATCAACTTATTCTCCTCAGATGACATTAATTTTATTAGGCACATACATTTAGTTTTGGATGTTTTTCATTGGTTTCGTCATGAATTCATACTAAAATGAATTTATTCATGAGCATATGATGAAAATTTCAGCCAAAGCTTTGTTGTTATCGGGACAACACTAAATCTTGACGGATTACGCAAATCATTTTTCATGCCTTCTTTTTTTTCCGGTTNGATGCACTGTGCAGATCTATTCTCTTTATGCGTTGAAATCGCAATATGTTTCTTTTTTTTTCATTTCATTAGTCTGCTATCTTCTATGAACATTTCGCGATAAACATTTTATTAATCTCTTCCAAAAGCATTTGATTCCTCTTTTTTATGCATTAAAAATGAAAACGGTTAATGTTAATCGAATGCCTAAATGAAACAGAAAACAATTACACTTTTCTATTCATCTTGCTTTGCTCATTACTATTGCTTATAATAATTACAGATAGGATGAAATCATGTAATGGTGTTTTTCGTCGATCAATGAAAATCGCTCATTGAATTTTTGCACCCTCGTAAAGTTATTTGACTCATGAAAACCATTTTGTTGACTGAAAACTCTTTTCTTCCTTCCTTGTTCGCATATTAAACATTGTACGATTAAAAATTTTAATATTTTTCCGGGTGTATTCAGTAATGAAATTCATTCGATGTTGGGCACAAACATTCACCGCAAAATTGATAATCATTTAGTTGTTTGCTTTGAGTTGGCTCATATGAACGCCTCACGGAAATAACAATTCGTCAAAGCGAAAGAAGAGCCTCTCAGTTTCGAGAAGCTTCTCAATCTGTAGGTTGATTNGTGCGTCCATCCGAAGGGATGTGCTCGCTAAGAGCTTCTGAATACTTCATCATTAGTAACTGATGCCGACTCAAGACTACGATTGTAGTTGAAACGAGCAGTTTTTCGGTGAACAACAAACACAAATACATTTCAATATAACGTTCCATTTGGATAAACGATCGCTGTGGAGTCTAAGTTTCAGACTTATCAATGATCTCAGTGTATCAAAAAGGAACTGTGTCCGATCATCGATAAGCCATACAAGTTCACAATCATATTCATTACTCAAGTCATTTTCAGGACGTTGACAGTGAACAATTTCAACAAAAAACTAAAATGAAGACATGAGGAGCTGCATAAATACAATGTATTATATTTATGAGCAAATGTTTGAAAGGCATAATTTTTTGCTGAGTAATCCGAATTTTGGTCAATAAGGTTGTTTCTTCAGTAGACGCATTCTGAAAAGTGTACCATTAATAGCGTGGTTGTCAGCCAAGAATAATTGCATGGAGAGCAATTATTTGATTGTTCGCAAATCAAAATCAGCGAAAGAAACCAAATGATTTGTAAACACGAAGCTAACCTTCGTTCAGACGACTTGCGACTTGTTTTGACTGCAAATATGATAAAAAACAACAGCAATTGATACAGATGGATGTCACAATATGAATGCTAATTTCGAAAATAATAAGTTATTATCGATATCGCTCTGTTATTAGTTTCACGCCTCTTGTCTCATTGTTAACTTTGTTTACGAAGCTTAAAATCCGTATCATTTGTCACGAACGACTGAACACCGTTTATGTGTTCATTGCTTCGTCAGTAATGCCGAGCGATTGAACCATATTCTCATTTTCGTTTTATTCTTAATGGTTAAAGGGACTTACGGAGTCCGACTATTTGAAAAAGTTGCCACGCCTAAGGTAGAGCCTTAAACTGCATGGCCCATGGGCACAATTTTATTTTTCCACATCCAAATAGTATCCAGGAAATGACGTGTAAACTTACTCGCAATTGCCAGATGCTTCTAGGAGCCATACGTCGATATGAAACATCTTTCATGAGAAGAAATTATCTATCATCAAGAGGAACTGCATTCGAAATTTCATGGTCACACACATGTATGAATAACACGTCCATGCATGTTTACTTTACTAGTGAAGTGAATATTTGTTTGAAGCAATTAATGAAAGACAAACAATTACTGAAAGCATTCAGTTTGCTTCCCATTTCCATGGTTTATTTTTCTGCATGCTTCTTCAAATGATAGAGTAGCAAGTGGATCTGCTTCCGAATACGTCAAAAGCCCATTAAAAAATTCGTTCACTGATGACAAACAAATCATCTTGTGATTGTTTCATTCGAATGTTCATTCTTATTTTTGCGACACTTTTTCACATCACCGTAAACAGTGCTGAAAAATCATATCCAGGTAAAAACATTGTCTGTAAGTTTATTACAATGCGAAATGAACTGAAAAAAATAAATTCACTGTTGAAAAATAACACTGAAACATGCTTTTTTGTCATTATACAAACTGAATGCATGATCATTCAGTTAGTAGTAGTTATAGTAGAATAAGAAGATGAACTTTCTGCTGAGAAAAGTCAAGGATTATTGTGCATACTCGAAAAGCTTGCTAACTCACTTTCATCACATCCAGCAAAAGATTTCTCTAATGTTTTTTAATCGCTTAACCATCTTCAAGCATCACTGATCCTTAATAATACTAGATTATTCTCAGCGAACTGTTGAAAGCACCACAAGGGCTCTTCTGGAACGAAAATGTGGTTTTGAGCGAGGGGATTATTCTGCCATGACATTAAAGTCTGTGTAATCCAAATCGTTGTTATTAGTTTCTTTCATGAAATGATCACAAGAGTGAGAGACATTCACTGAATGTGATAGGAGAAGCCTATCCAATAAATAATAGCACGAAAAATTCATCGACCATGTAAGGGACATGTGCTGTTCATTGAACATTGAGCAGTATCTTAAAGTTATAGCTACTGATATCTATCTCTATACCACCTTTTCGAAAACTGTTTTGTTCTGCTCCTAAATGACTATTCTAATCAATCCTGTACGTTCCTCGTTTCAAAACTGTTCTATTCTATTCTGTTCTATTCTATTCTGCCCGCCTAAACTATGCTATACTGTTCCAAACCGTTCTATTTTGTTCCCTCAATCAGAAGAGTGACACGATAAAACTTGTGGTAATTAGGGTTGGAAACGGTTGGTTTTTTGGCGTTTTCAGTGCAAAATGGAGATTTTTTTCGGGTTCANAAGATTTTCTACACAGACAGTTGACAGCTTTTGGTCGTAAAGAGCGAAGGAAAACGGAGGGGTTCGGGCTCTGGAACTTTTATTGGAGGCGTAAAATGTGAACAATTTCTGTGATGGATTGCTCCTAGAGTTTAGAGTACGACCAACATTTGAAATTAGGGTGTTCATTTGGTAACGCAGTTGCATCCTTTAGGTGTTTCATGAGGGAATTCGTCAAGAATGCAGTATCTCACTGCATTCTTCACAAAGAACCGTTCAAAGAACAGTCAAAATCTGTTAAAAACTGTTCTATTCTAATCTTTTGGGCTCAAAAACGGCTCCATTCTATTCTGTTCTGTGCGTTCCTCGTTTAGGAACTGTTCTATTCTATTCTTTGGAATAGAAAAGGAACAGAATAGTTTGACTAGAATAGAGAAATCACTACTTATTCCTGCTATCAAGTTATAAATACTGATTTCAGCTTTACGCGGCACTATTCCTGGTTGGTTTGTGTGGTAACGTATCGGTGATAACGTTGATACGTCACGTTCATGCGGCGATTCCATACGATAATACAATGATATTCGTATTGTTCTTGTGCTGCGTTGATTTGGCATCTGTGATACCGTTGCCGATGGCCATTGTGGACCAGTTGCTGGGTTTTTGGATGTTTGGTACGGTGTGCTGTAAAATATATCGGACATTAGAGCACGTTGGACGGGCTTTATCAACTTTCGTGTTGGCAACGATGGCCTTTGATCGATTCCACAGGGTTTGGTATCCCCATCGAAAAACAAGGTGACATTTATCGAATCGTATAGCTTCTCAGCACTAACTTAAAATCAGCCATAACAAGTACAGCTGAATGGTCAATTTAGAGACACACTTTACTGTGGTTTAATGTCTCTTTACCATTTCTATTCCAAGAGTCAACACTTTTGTAATGACTTTTCGGTCAATCTTATACAACAGTAGAGAGAATTTTCATTGGATGCTAATGAGTATTACTAATTACGAGAGAAGAGTTGACGATATTTCTGAAATTCGCATCCGTCCTTAGCTCAGCCAGAACAATCGTAACAAGTGTAATTGTATGTCAAATTGTACTGCTTATTGTGGAATCAAATTTTTTTCCAATTTTTTATCAAAAGAATACATTTCCAATCGAAATGTCGAATAGAAGTTGACATTTAATATTACTTGCAAATTATACTAAACTAACTTCCTTTCTCAACGACAACGTCACTGTTTTTTCCCTGATAGTGTTAGTATCTCAGTTGATGATAGTAAGTTAAATGCATAATTTTTTAATTTTCATCCTGATGGTGATCATTCAATTATGCAGAGAGACTCTCTTGCGAATACACTCATCGCTCAGAAAACATCACTTACGGATTAAATGAACTGATTAAAGTGATTTCAAATGCACTCATGAAAAAAGAAGTAAAGGTGAATAATAAACAGCTTTCATTCGATAGCGAAAGAGCGATTATGACGTGCAAATGCAATGAGCCGTAAGTGCGAAATGCACGCATCGTTAAACGCTTGAATGTTTGAGATACAAAGTTCTCACTTTTTTATGCATAATCTTTTAAAAAGCATTCAAAGTATACGTCTCTGAAGACGAATACTCTCGGGAAAGTGAACGTAAATTCGAAATCGGGACTAAACATGGAACTGAACTCCATTAAAAACGTCCTTTTGAAATTTGTCCGCAGTGTACCACCATTTCACTCTTCAACAATAGCGTCTTATTCTTAGTATTCATTCATAAACAAAACAGATATCAGTTGCGCTCATACGCGCTATCTCATAGTCAGTCTGATCGAGCATTTCTCTCATTTTAGGATATTATTTAAACTAAGTACTCTAGAATCCTCCTGTCCATCATCGAAAGCAGCTTTTATTCGGTTAAATTGCTGAAGTATTTAGGTTCATGAAATTACACCGATGCATGCTAGTGTTTCGAACTCTTTCCTTTTTCTGAGCGATGTATTAACATTCGTTGAGCGATCGCCCATTCCGCATGAAATGAAGCACAGACGGATTATTCTACTTGATTATCAAGTGTCGGAAAGAAATGAGCTAGCAGCTAGCATTATGGCGTTGTATTTTCGCACGTATACGCACTTAATTGAAAGGATAACAGTATGAATTGCCTATAATGATTCTAAAGTTTCAGTCCTTCGAGTGACTACGACTAAAAAGCATTGTGTTTCGAAGCAAACATGTAGTAGGAGGGGCGGATTTTGCTGAAATTCACTTTAATTTTTTGACTCGTTGACATATATCGCAGTAACTCACAGCATGTGATTTTTTACACTAATACTGTAGGTTTGTTGCGATACTTGAGTGTTTGTGATCAGCTAAATGATCTAGATTCTATACTTTTACAGAGTACATTCTATTACAATA